TTTTATTCATGAGTCTGGAATATGGTAGAAATAATATGTTTCTCTTAGCAACCTAGCTACCTCAGTTAGGGTTTTGGTAGATGTGATAGGGGTTAATATGCTGTATTTAGTGATTAATTGTGGGTCGTTCGGGAGGTCAGGCTTTTCTGTAGGGTTGACTGTCATAATTTCTGGAGATAAAGGTTGATTGAACTTATATATTGAGCTAATATCATCGATGAAGTCAATAGCTTCCTGCTTTTTAGTAATTGGATATGTATATTCCTTCAGGGTTTTAATTTTGATAAGGTTTTTAGGCAGGGGTAGTTTCACTTGGTAGTAGTTATTTGGTAAGTTTTTGAAGGTATATTCTTCTCGTAGTTTTTCTAGAATTTTTTGTGTGTTGTCATGAATGTTATTTGGATCAATAGGGAAGTGCCTCCTATATTTGGGACTAAGGTCTTGATATGCTAATGGTAGGCGAGCTTTTGGTGGTGGTAATTCAAAGAAGTGGGGTGAGATTTTGGTACACTCGTAATATAGGCTCAGTTGCCTTTTGTAGTAGCCTAATTCTCTTAGGCATTTTCTATCAGTAATTGGGAATAGATCTCTTACTGCTGGGTAAAGGTTAGCAATATTAGTAGGAAGAGAGTCAAGGCTTGTAAAGTATTCTTCTGGAAGCTGTATGTGCCTTGTTGTTTATAGGCAGGGTGAAAGATAACATCTGTTGTATATGTTCTGGAATCTCATCTGGATCACTAGGTAGTTGTTGTAACTTCTCTGCAAAGGCTTCTTAGACTGCCTTTTGGATTTTGTCATGAGTTTTGAGTGTTGTATCTTTAGTAAATCCTTTGTAATATTTTACTAGGTGCACGATATGTTTATGAGGGCATGTGTTGAAGTTTGTGTTGATTATATAATCTAGAAAGATTTTTTGTCGAAGTTTCTGGTGGATGATGTCTTGTGTTTTTCTATTAGTTATAGTGATCTGATTTGTTTTCTTGTAGTTTTGTAATGCATTATGAAATAGTTCTTTGTATTCTATTTGGTGCTGTGGTATGAATCTTTTTGCTTTGGTAAAGGTAAGGAAAAATGTGCGGTCTAGATATTTGAACTTGGCTGATATAGCTGAAGGGATATATTTATCAGTGGGTTTAGTTGCAATTTTGTATTTTATAAATTCTTGAAGCTTTGTATTGGATTGAAAGTTGGTAATCATTTTGTCGTACTGCTATGTGTTTGTGTCAAAAGGTTGCGTGATTTTCTTTATCATTTCTGTATATATATGTTCTAGCCATTTCTGGGTTAGATCTTTATCTATTTGCATTGTGTTGTCGGTCAAATTCTTCTTAGCAGCTTGGCTGTATGTAAGTGTATTAGGAACTTCATGTTGTGCAAATATTGTGGAGGCTGTGTCAGGTTCTATATGGTTATTATGTTGTGTATCAGTTGATACTTCAGAGTTGGTTGTTGTTGCATTATCTATATTTCCTGTTGTTGTATTGTTGGTGTTGGTCTGGGGCGTGGCTGTGTTGTTGTTGTTGTTGGTGTAGAGTGTGTTGTCTAATATAGTAATATTGGGGCTGTTGTTGTGGAAAATTATTGTTATATTGTTGTTTTTTCCTGTGGTTTCTGTTTGGATGTTGTTAGAACCGGTTTGGACGAGTTGGTTGTTGTTGTTGTTTTGGTGTGATGGTGTCATGCTGTTTTTTATCAGAGGTAAGCTAGATGGCCCACTTTTGGTGTTTGGATATAGTCTAGGAAGGAGTGTACATCATCTTTTTGAACTAGTATCATTATATGTGAAGTCAACTTAGCTAAGACTTTTGTTTTGCCTTTACTTTTGCTCTTGTTATTGCTGTTATGTTCACCTATTTGAAGTTGTGGTTAGACTGATAGTGTAAAGGGTGCTATAGGGCCCAAAGGCCTTGTGTTTTCTTTGTTGTCAGTGATGTAGTTCCTGCCGCCTTGTTTTCACTTTATCTTGGTTACTTAGAAGGGTAGTATAGTAGGTATTGGTGTGCTTTGTAGTTTTTTCTTTATATAATTAATTATTTATTTACTAAGTTGTTAAATTTTATGTATCAATTTTTTTATTTACTATAGAAATTAGGATGTACGGAAAAGGGTTTCTTCCTCTAACTACTTGGAATTTAGACTTGCCATTTTGTAAAAGAATTCAGAAAATGCTAAAGAATATAAGTTCTATATCTAAAATTATTTTTCATATTTACTTTTTTGAGTAAATTAAAAAAAAATGTTTTTTTTGTAAATTTTACATATAAAATTGAGTAAGTCATCTCATTTGATCTATATTTAATTTAAGTGTAGAGGACATGTCCTATGACTATTATAAGAATCAAAAAATTAACTTTGTATAGCCTTATATAAAGATTAAGCTTTTTTTATTTTTTCTATAATAAACTCTCTTTTATATTTAATCTTTAAACTAGAAGAGTCTTTAAGAACAGCAAGTAGAAAAAACTAAAGTTTATTAGAAATAGAAAACTTTCATAAACTCTTGAAACAATACTTCTTAGTTAGAAATTTACAAAACTATAATATTTTTTGTTATTTTATTTTTTATAATTTCTCAAAAAGTGAAATTTTGGCTACTCTTTTTACAAAATTAGTATTATTTTTAAAAAATTTAAGTTACAATATAACAAATGAGAAATACAATAATTATATCTAAGGAAAAATTTTAAAATTAATAATTCAAATAGAAAGTTTTGCATATAAACTTTGTTGTGATGATGTTTCTTCGATCATTTTCAGAGCAACTCTTTCCAATGATTACTTGATCAACAACAATTTACTGAACTACAGTCAGCGATATAGGAAAGCAACATAGTAGACACAGCAATATTCTTGGTTTTGCACTAAGCAAACTTGTTGTCAACAAAGCCTACAATATGTGAAACACTGAGGAGCAGGTGTATAAGAATATTAGTCAGGTTTGTGCCTTGGGTCAAGTTTTTCTTTCTTTGACGGACCCCCTCACACATTCAGCATCCAAAACCCTAACTGAGGTAGCTAGGTTGCTAAGAGAAACATATTATTTCTACCATATTCCAGACTCATGAATAAAA